TGAGCAAAATAAAGCCCACGAGTAGGAGGCAGTGTGTCACCCAGAACTTGCACAGCCTCAGCATACTCCTTGCTCTCGAGGCCCCCATGACAAATCCAGGTGGAAACACAAGAAAGGGTTTGGTGGAGCCGGTATGGTATCTCTTAAAGCCACAGCTCTGGGTACATGCTCATTTGGAATTTACACTGACCTTGCTGATTGTGATGAAGGTTTGTTTTGTTTTTAATTTTTTTAAATTATGGACTCTATGAAGAGGGTTAGAAGCACTGTTCTAACATTGTTTAATGTGAGGATATTGTACAAACAAGGAGAGTAGGGAGGCAGATTCTAAACATTCAAAAACCAAGTTATAAGCACTTGGGAAATGTTCCTCCGTGAGGCCTCTGAACGCACACGACACACCAGGAGGACAATGACATCACCCCCACTCAGCACCCACAGAGGACGGGATGTGTACCTGACACTGAGCCTCGAAGACTTCAACGTACCAGAAGAGAGAATTACCATTCCCATCTTACAACCGAAGCTTTGAGAAATACCTACACTGCTCATGGACAGAAGCAGAGACCTAGGTGAGGACTGGATCCACTGCTGAGGGTCCTGCTATTTTTAATTTCTTATGAAGAAACTCCTTCAACACAACTTCATCTTCATGCAAATAGTATACTAATTACAAAGGGTTTAAACAGATCATTAAAGCAGCAGAGGTATGACAGGCCCCTACAGAGCAACCCTTGGCCAAGAGGTATTTAATAATTTTAAAGATGCATTTGATAAAATTATTCTACAATTCAGATCGTCTCCTAATTCACAAAACTCCAAATTAACAAAGTTTTATTATAAATGAAGTGGTAGAATGCCTTTTGGACAAATGCTATCAAATAAATGAACATCCAGAAATCCAAGTCTTCTGAAATGAATGCCCTGATGCTAACTAACATCAGCCACACTACTTTCCCTAGTGGGCACAAGAGCCCGGACAGAAAAAGGAATGCTCTTCTTTTCCACAGGGAGAGGAGTATGTGCTGGGTCCTGGGTGCTGGGCCCAGAGATCACTGCCTTTACTGCCTTTTAGCCTCAGCAGAGAGGTACAGCTTGCTTTCTTTACAAGGAAGTAACCTCTAGGTGAAAGGATACCAAGAACGGGGTTTTCATTCACTCTCAAAGCATGATAGTGAGAATGATACTTTTATAGGGGAGAAATGAGGGATCCTTCAATTTCTAACAAGAAGTAACTGGCCTTTCTCTTTCTTGATTTTTTGGGTTGTTTTGAGACAGGTTCTCTCCACATAACCCTGGCTGTCCTGGAACTTGTTCTGTAGACCAGGCTGGCCTAAACTCACAGAGATCCTACCAGTCAGGAGTCCTCCAAAGGCCAGTGTCATTAAAAACTAAAAAGCGTGCGCGCGCATGTACATAAGCAGTGGGGCTGGAGATAGAGCCAAGTGGTAGAACACTAGCCTGTCATGGTGAGGCCCAGGGGCATCCTAAGCACTGCTACAGCAAAGCCCAACCTGAACACAATGTACGGTCCTCTGCTGAGGCAACTGTTCAAAACTCCAGCTATTAAAAAAATACATGGCATCTGGGGAAATGTGAACATGCAGTGGATATCAGATGATAATGCTACTGAGTTATTAATCCTCTTAGGTGTTATACAGAGCACTGTCCTTATTCTTAGGAGACTGTTGAAGTATTCAGAGATGAAGTGTGGTAATGATTGCAACTTTTCTTCAAATGGCTCAGAAAAAAAAAAGTCATAAAGAGAGAAAGCTTGACAAAGTGTGAACTTACGAAACTAGGTAGCAGGCAGGCATTTGCTTTTCTGACATTTTTAAAGATAAAACTGTGATGGGATATAGAGAGGCAACCATAAGAAATATTGTGCCAACTTGGTATGTACATAGAGCACACAGGGAGGCCAGCTCTGTGTGAATGAAAATACCACATACTCTTATCTGGGATTAAGACATCAAAGCCGAGTGGACTGGTTTGTGATTTTGCTTTGGGCTACAGGAAAAGACCTATCGCTTCTTAATGCCAGTATCCTGTTGGTACAATCTGTATCCATTTCTACCAGCTTGCTAGTCCCCCTATCTGTGGTGTGAAAAAACACAGGCAGATTCACCCAAGCTGTCAAAATGCTTGTTTTGTTAAAGCCAATTGTGTCCACACTTCAGCTCAGAACCCTGACTGTGCATGGTGAAGGAAGCTTGAGTTCGCTCTGCACTCACAGTCCTGAGAGCAAACACCCCCAAATGCTAACACACACAAGCCAATGCCGACCTTTGGCTGACAGCTAGCTGACTCTCCTACACTGGAATAGTTTGCCAAGCTCCACAACTGCTCAGCTACACTCTGCTGCAACCAGTCCGAGTGACTTCAGTGAGTCACAGACTCTGAGACAAAGACACCAAACAAGAGGGACTGTTTGGCAGGCAGATCAGGACATAGCCTCTTGCTTAAAGTAGATATGTAGATATTCAGTCAGTTTCATAACATCTCCAAAAACTCAGAATGGCTAGAAACTTTATAATCTGGCTTGAGTTTGCTGGGCCTTCCCCGCACAAGGGGCTCCCTAGGTGAAAGCTCGTGGAAATCCACCCACTTAATTCACAAAGTGATGCTGCCCATGAATATACCAGTGGTTGGTGGCCTCTAACAGTCTGCATGGTTATACAGAATGAAGAACAGGATACACACAGGACCTCGCCTAGATGCCCTTAACTACCTCGTCTGAGTCAATCTGCAACTTCCAGACATAACACAAGATGTCTATCAGAGCACCAGGGGGAGAAATACTTGTAAGAACCCAAATTTTCCCTGGGTGATATTAAGATATATCCAAATTCTTCCTTTAGTACAGAGCCCACCCACTCACACCAGGGTAGAAACCCAGCAATGAGGGTAAAGTGATTTTATGCATAGAAAAAGAGTAAGAACAGCAGTCTGAGGATCCACTAAAACCAAGAATGTAAAGGGAGGAAACTTCACAGTCGGTCAGGCAGAGAAGTGAGTCTATCATACTACAGAAAGAGCTGGTCTGGCCAGAAAACAGAATAGTCGCTGTAGTCAGAACTGGGATAGGACCCAAGAGAGACACTGACTGACTCCTCTGCCTTAAGGGACACAGTACCAGGAAGCGGAAGACCTGAAAGAGAACAGGAACTGTTAGTTCAAATTGTTCAGAAGAATCTAAAAGGCATTTAAAATGTGCCTGAGGATGATAAAGACGGGACTGCTGAAGTAAGGTGCCCCCACCCCAATGGCTTCCAGTTGGGCTCTGGCCCAGAAGGCTGGCCCTGGGCTCCAGCAGCTCAGCCAGACAGATTCTGTGACCAGGAAGGCAGACGTGGACTAACAGCTGGCAGATGTGCTTCCCCAGCAAAAATCAAGTCCAAAGTGTAAGGCAGCCCCTTAAGAATCCCTTCCTCTTCCTGGCTATTCAAAACGGAAAACCCCATAGCTGTATTTCAACAGGACCAAGAAATCTAAGCAATATGAAAGGTACTTCCCGAACTGGGTTGCAGTGGGTTGGACCTCCTGATCCTGCCACAGTCCCACCTTCTGGGCTTGCTCTGCCTGCTTTGTGTGTCCAGGACAGACCCAGGGATGTACGGCCTTCCCAGTTCTTCCACACAGCGCTCTGACTCTCACTGTCCGGGGCCACCGGCCATTCTCATCGACTTCTCCCACGCCCAGCTTTCCCTTGGACAGGAATCCACTTTCTCAGAACATGCTCGCAGAAAGTGCTAGCAACACCGGGATTTGTGCATAAACTCACACTGAAGATTAAGTAAAGAGGTGAGAGTGTCCCTGAAGACTTGCAGGGCCAGAACGGCCACTCGGAACACATTCACCCCGACAGTTCACATCGGTGAGCACCTCTGCCCAGACATAATCAGTCGCCAATCACAAGTGTGAAACCCTAAGGGTCCCACCGGACCAACAGCACCAATCAAACCCACAGCCAGCTTCCACACTACAAAATCGCAGCAGGTTTTGCATAATAAAAGTGAGACCTATAGCTCCTTGAGAAAGGCGTGGTGGCCGGAGAAGAGAGGGGAAGAAGCCCCATTCACGGTATCTCAAAATCACATGTATATGCACCTGTCGGTCGGCAACAGGGTCTGGCTAAGGGTCGGCAACAGGGTCTGAAACCAACTACTACTGCGGGAACAAACGAGCATTGGGCCAGCAGAGAAAATGGCAAACACATGAGCAGTTGGGCACGTCTTGTTCAAGGCCAAGCAGCCACAAAGAGTGGCCAGAATCAGAGGCTCTTCAGGGCCACTTGAAGTCTGGGAGAGTTTGCCCAAAGAAACCTCCTGTTATAAATAAGCAAGGTGAACCCTGCATCTGCATTCAGCTGCAGAAGCCCCCATCACCCCCAAATGAAGAGCAGATGCCGCTGGAACTCCCCATTCTGACCACGGAGCACAGTTTTGAGAACACACCAGTTTTGGAATTAATGCTTCTTTAGTTATAACTCCCCTCTAACACATTACAGGGACACTCCAAGGCCTGTGTGCCAACAGAACCTCCATCCTTTAATAAGAGGGGGATGCCCATCAGGGAGACACCACAGCCTGCTAACCCCAGGGCACTAAAGGCCCTTACCCCACCGCACCCCACCGCACAAGGGCCAAATGCGACTTCCTTCTTGACTGTCAAACTCTCAAGGAATAGCTTTAGGCGCCTTAGCACGGGGATTCTGAGACCTTCCCCAGACTTTCTAAGCCTCCTTCATCAAGCCAACCAGGACGTAAGAGCTTCACAGAAAAAAAGAGGAAATTTAAAATGTAAATAACAAACATGGTTTGGGAAGAACAGCCTGGGGAAACTTCAGATAAAACTTAAATAGGAAAGCTTGGGATAGAGCTGAACAGGTGGAAAAGAAAAAGGAAGACGAGACCGAGGTGGGGACCAAGACAGTCCGAGAGGATCTTTCCTGAACAATGGAGGGAGTGTGACAGGAGGGTCGCGCGGCAATCCGGGGACCCGGACTGCACAGCCCTAGCACTACAGGTGGGTGTGGGTGCGGGATTTATGCGCCAACAGAGAGGGCGAGCCTTACGAGCGAAGGTTCAGGGAAGATGCAGCACTGGACTAGCGGGACTGAAGGCTGCGGTCTGAGAGCCCCGGGGAGGTGAAGAGGAGCCCGAGAGGAGCCCAGAGCCGGGCCACCTTTCGGGGGGTCTCAGTCCATACCGGAAAGTGAGGTAACCTTAATTTGCGATGGCAAGGTGGGAGGGGACAGCTCTAGGCTGGCACCTGGTGAGAGAGAGGTCTAAGGTGGTGAGCTCAGGGCAGGGTCGCTCCGGCCCAAAGCCGCAGCGCTAAGCCGAAGAGTGTGAGTGAGGGTCCGGGACTCCCTTCCAGTCTGCGGATGCCCAGCACGGTCTCGCGGGAGGAGGAGGCTCCGCAGCTCTAGGGCCCGGTCCCCAGGCCGGAACTCTACCGACAGGAGGGACCCTGGGGTGGGGCTGGGCCCGCAGCTGGCGACGCGGGGCCAGGGAGGGGCTGGGGTCCCGGACTCACGCATCAGTGTGCTGAAGGCCACGACGCCGAGCAGCCCCTGCAGGAAGATGCCGAAACTGTGCATGAGCGCGCCGCTTTCACAGCGGCCCGCCCCGGACGCGACCGTGGAGGCCGGCCCGCCTGGCAGTCCGCGGCTCACGTTCCCTCCCGGGCCTTGCATGACGGCCTGGCGGCAGGGCGCGAGGGCCGCGCCGCCCAGCCGCGACCCGGGACCCGGAGCTGGGAGCCGGTACCTCAGACCGCGGCCGCCTCCGCGCCGCGCGTAACCCGACGTCTGAGATCGCAGAGCTTGATTGGTCCGGCCAGGCGGGAGGCGGGCTTCGCCCCTCTCCAGGGGCGGGGCTCCGGTCAAGGCTAGGGGGCGGGGCCGAGGGGACTCCTTAGCAGGTAGACGGAGCAGGAGAGCAGGACTGTGTGCAAGGAATCAGCAGAACCCTGTGCTCTAGGTCGTGAGGACAGCGTCAGAGACAGTGATTAAGCCTGTCGTAAAACCCCTTTCCCCTCCAAGGTGCATTTTTTTTTTTTCGAGACAGGGTTTCTCTATGAAGTTTTGGTGCCTGTCCTGGATCTCACTCTGTAGCCCAGGCTAGCCTCGAACTCACAGAGATCGCCTGGCTCTGCCTCCTGAGTGCTGGGATTAAAGGCGTGCGCCACCACCACCCGGCTGTGAGTCTTTTTTTGAGACAGGTTTTCTCTGTGTAGTTTTGGTGCCTGTCCTGGTTCTCAACTCTGTAGCCCAGGCTGGCCTTGAACTCAGAGATCCGCCTGCCTCTGCCTCCCAAGGGCTGGAATTAACGGCGTGCGCCACCACCGCCTGATCCAAGGTGAATCTTTTATGCTCTGGACAACTTACTAAAAATACTCATAGATTTTGCCCCCAGATTTGGACTCACTACTTCAGAAGTGGAGCCCAATTGTGCAGCTACATTGTGCTGAAGCACGGTGCTGAGTGCAACAATCTCACTTCTTGCCACGCTAGACATCGAGGGTTCTACTTTCCGTGGCCAAAGGCCAGAAGATTTGATTCATTACTCAAAGATTTAAGGTGAGTCGTTCCCCCACCATTTACATAATTTGTGGGGTTTTTGTTGTTTTGAAACAGGCTTTTATGTAGCCCAGGCTGTCCTCAAACAAGTATGTGTAAAACAAGGATGGCTTTGAACTTCTGAGCCCCTTGCCTGCACATCCCAAGTGCTGGGATTTCAGGCCTGTGACACCACAGCCTGATTTTGCTGTTTTGAGATGGGGATCTTGTTGAGTTGCCTGGGATGATTTGGAACTTCTGGACTCAAATGATCCTTCCACCTCTGTCTCCAAGGAGCTCTGACTACAGCTCAGTGCCATTACACTTGGCTCCTTTTTGACTTTAACGGTCACTTCAGCATCGTTTACTTGATAGAAATATATTGAATTTAAATGAAAAGTCAGTATGTACATGCCCCTACTTTGTTCACCTATGAGGTGCAACTACAAATTGAATTTCTTTTATGTTTGTTTGAGACAGAGTCTGGAACTTGTTATGTAGACCAGGATTTGCCAGCTTCTGCCTCAAGGCATATGCCACCACACCAGCCTGATTTCCTTTTTTTTAAAAATACTAATTAAAATACTAATGATGGATATGTGATGATCTCCAATACACCAGTGTGCAGACAGACACCCATTTCACTCTTAATACCTGGGCTCCTAGACTTCTCGGGTGTCTCTCTAGACTCCTCTGGGTACTCGAGATCCCCAACTTTCCTGCTCCGTATCAATGGACATGTGTGTGGTACAGGTCCAACAGACATTGAGCTACATTTGTTGGACAATAAATATCTCAAAAGAAATTTCTCCAAGAATGTTTAATTATCAAAGAGCGCTAAATGCTATTCAAAGATCTCCTGGTTAGCAGGAATATTAACTCTGTAATTCAGAAAAAAGTGCAAGTCTCCATCCTCTCACAATCTACTCATACAGCCTTCTAATTGTATGGAGGCCGTTCCCTACTCCTGCCCAATGAACTGCTGCTCAAGCTTCAGCCCACCTGACCTCCGCACCCCCACGGTGCTTTCCCTTTCCTTGTGATACTTTTCAGACTGTTAGCTCACACAGCTGTCTCTCCTATCTCTGAAGATGAGCTTCCTGAAAGCAGAACTAGTCTTGATTAACTCCGGAAACCAACAGATTTAGCACACAACAAACATACATTTAACTGGATTTCAATTTATAAATTTTAAAATGCTCCATAAATTTATTGACCATGAGGGAAAAGATTAAGAAAATAAATGGATATGGGAAACTTAAAATTGCATTATTCCCTTTAAGTCCAAGAAGGATCTTACATAAAAGTGCTTAACAGTTACAGTTCGTGTTCAGGGAGAACCAGAGAGTGTATCTTAAAACAGAAGAGACTGTGACCGGGCATAAGATTATTAGTTACAGCCGGAGGGTGTAGGGGGTGGGGTGGTGGTGCACACCTTTAGTCCCAGCACTCAGAAGGCAGAGGCAAGTGGATCTCAGTTTGAAGCCAGCCTGGTTTACAGAGTGAGTTCTAGGAGAGCCAGGGCTACACAGAAAGCTCGTCTCAAAACAAACAAACAAACAAACAAAAAACCAAAAAGATTATTAGTTACTTGAAGACAGAGTGCAAGAAAAATTGCACATAGAGCTGAAAAGTGCAGTCTGGGACAAAACACTGCTCTGTCATTCAGATGTGGATGATTCTAAGGCCCACAGAGAACAAAAGACAGAGGATTCTGCTCAACTTATCTCCTCTTAGTAACTTAAAAAATTTATCTAAATCCAGAAGGGACAGCAAAAGACAGCGGGGCTTCTAGAGTTCTATTCAAGTAGGAAGGGCCTTCTACTCATTTCAGAAATGACTCGCTGACGCCCCACTAGAAAGAGTTTGGAAGAATGTACTCTCTAGCAAAAGCCTTTCTTACTATAAAATTAGCACAAATGAAGTTAAAGAGATTAATACCTGTTTATAATTTTCTCACAACCACTTAAAACTGTCATATCACAAATTTATTATAAACTTATTTGCCAAAAAGAAAGAAAAACACACATATATTCATTCAAAATAGTTTTGTTTTGTTTTTAATCCTTTAAAATTATAACCATCAAACTTGATGGGAGTTATTTTAATAGGTACTCTAGTGCATTCTTCTCCTTAAGTGTACTTGGTCTTCAATGCATAAATTTTTAAATTAAAAGGAAAAACAGCAAGCAGGAAGGATACAATGCCAAAAGCATTTCATTTTGTTCCAAACACGCAACTTATTTTTGTTTTTTTTGGCTTGTTTTTTAAAAGTAAAAATACATTAAACAAGGTGCATTACTTGCAAGGAGAGATTATTGGAGAGAGGCCTAAGGATAGAGCTGGATCCGGCCTGGAGTCCCATCCTGGCATGCCTCTGATTGTCATTAGAGAAAATTCAACTAAAAGAAGAGGAGGGAGGTGAGAGGAAAAACAAATGAGCACTCAGCGTCTCAAGAGAAACTATCTTCCCCAGTATCTTATAAAAGGACTAGAGACTGCCCCTTCACCTCTGCCCAAGCTTTGTCAACTTTTGTCTCCTCCACTAAGCATCTGCTTTGTGATCTGAGTTGCCCTTAAAGTCTGTAACCTCCTCTATTCTGCAAAGCTAGACACAGAATAAGCCATAGGGGAGGGAACCCTGAAGACAGTCCCTCTCACACACATCAGCAGGGGGACACTGTCCACTGTCAGCAGCTCCCTTCCCTCCTCCCTGTGGCTCAGCTCTGCACTCCACTGCTGGCAGTGACAGCTGTCTGGTGAATCCACAGCACTTCACTGGGGTAGGCCCTAACACCATACCAGACTAGTCAGAAAAAGCATTAGTTTTAGACCTACTCTCCTATCCCCTACCTCCTCTATAAACCTTCACTCCTGTGTTTGCAGGTTCCTGTGAAATTCTGACTTCTTAAACACAGTAGCAAGAAAATCAATATGCACTGCATTTAATACCCACTACCTTTATGTTTCATACTTAAGGCTGCTCCCAGAGCCAAGTTACCTGTGTGGCTGAAGACAAGCACCGAGGAAAACAAGCCCCAAGTGACTGGACCTGGAACCATATCCATTTGGACTAGACTTTGGGTTTAGAATTCTTACAACTAAACTCTAGGTCAATAGGTAGCTTACTAGGATAAATTCAAACTCCCCAAGTATATACATTCTTATACAAAGCAATCACCAAAATTCATGAGTAAAACATTTAAAATGGAAAAGCCAGTGCCAGGAAAGTGATTGTTACTTCTTGGTTGTACAGGAGGCTCTGTCCTTACAGAGTTTCTAATCCAACACCATGGCTACAAGACACATAAGTACAAAGGTCCTCAGACCAGAGACATCCAAATCTACAAAGGCAGTATCTTGTTAGCCCAAGCTTTGTACTTCACTTCTGTGATGTGCTTTCTTACTTCAAAAGGACAACACAGGTCCTATTGATAAAACGGATCATTTAGGGACTTGTATGAATTTGCACACACATGGAATATATCCAGTATGTAAGACAAGTTCAAACTCGATGTGTGTTTCCACATTCATTCCAGCACTTCTGGCAATCAATGAAACCAGAAAAGAATCTCTTCAATGTAAGTTTTTGGTGAGAAGTATCAAGTAAGAATAAGCATCAGTGATAGTTTTTACAATGATTTCACATTGCTGCTACCTGTCATTTAGATCCCCTGATATGCTGTGTGTCTTGAAAACAGAGAGGGTGGGGTGTTTTGAGTCCTACCTGCCTTATTAATGGGGTGCTGTATTCAGGCATCCCATTAATAACCAACTTGGTTCTCGAGAGCATGTAAAATGTACTCAAGTCTTCCAAGTCTTCAGGAAGTTGGGTCTAATGCCTTTTCCCCAACAGTGAAAATAATTTTACTTCTAGGAAAAGAGACATACAAAGGTCAAAGTCTGAAGTGGTTTTCTATTCCTGCCTCTATCATAATTCAAAAAATATTTACCAAGATCATCCCTTCTAGAGGTTGGCTAGTACCCTTCCTTGAGACATATTATAAACACAGGGAACCAAGTACATTGCTAAAGAAAGACTAAAGATAGAATTCAAAGGCTCCATTAATGCTTGCCTATATTTGAAAAGGATGAAGATGGCTCACAAAGGAAAATAGCGGTCACAAGAAACCAATAAAATATAGTCAAAACATCAGGGCCAATCTGCACACACAGGTCACGGTTTCTCCTAAAGGACCAACAAAGCTGTAAAGTCTAGTTTAAGTCAGTTTACTTTTCAGGTCTAGGAGGATAATGGAGGCCATTCATGTGTTTCTAAGTTTGTCAACCCAGGTTAAAGATGTATCACAATAAACTTGCCTGCAGGCAAGCTGTGAGAACTGCAGACGAACTCCAGACAACATACTTGTAACCAATTTAAGAGCTTGGCTTCCTCAGAAACAGACGTCACACACAAATGTGCAACATATAAGCCCCTTACCCCAACAATGCAAGCTATTACCAAGCTTAAAACATCTGAGAATCATCGTAATTGAACAATCACTGCTACCCAGCCTAACCCTAGCATATTAGTTATCTAACTTATTATCTTATTTATCTAAACAGAAAAAAAAAACAACAACCAAAAAACCCCCAGAGTCTCATATAGTCCAGGCTAGCCCAGAATTTATTATGTAGCTGAGGATGATCTTGAACTTCTGATCTTCATTTCCACTTCCCAAGTGATGGGATTAGAGGTATGTATCACCATACCCAATTTGGGATTAGAATTTTATACTTTAAAAAGTCCTCTGCAAAATTCTCTGTGTAGCTTTGGAGCCTGTCCTGAACTCAATCTGTAGACAAGGCTGGCCTCGAACTCCACAGAGATCCACCTGGCTCTGCCTCCTGAGTGCTGGGATTAAAGGCATGTGCCACCACACTGGGCTCCATAATTCTTCTTTAATGTGACTATCAAGTATATTGTATCCAAATAAGAGTGCAAGGAACACTTAAGGATACCCTCCTCACTTGTCTAATTTATGACTGGCCTTTCTACAGGAGAAAGGAGAGCCTGAATAATTATGGTACAGTCAGACAAGACTGTTGTGTTCCAACCCTCCCCTACTCAGGACTACGTAAGGCCATGTGCTTCACCTTTTCAGACACAATACCTGTCATCTCTGCTAGTTCTACATTCTGTCATCTTTGAGGTCACGAAGAGAGACACAATGACACAGTCGCCGCTGTCACCCTTCCTTTTACTAAGACAACAATGTGAGCTCCTACAGGCATAGTTTTAGGAGGCCCCCCTTTTGTACTAGTGACTTGACTGTGGAGGTCTGGGGAAATTCTAGGAAGACAGCCACTCCAAATCAGCCTGCCAATACTAGCTGTTTCCGAGTGTCAAGTATGCTTCTCTCCCAGGGTCATGAACCACTCAAGTTTTTAAAAGCTGGATCTCTAAGTAAGCTCAAATAATGAGCTGTGACTGAGATGCGGCAGCTTCTTCCAGATACACCTGTTGGTAACAATATGAAGAGTTACTACTGTGTGTAGACTTGGCTGGAGGGCTTCAATTAAAGTGGTTCAAGAGTTATCCAATGAAGAACAGGATCCAGATTACAGACTTTCCCAGTGTCCATAAAAACAAATGGGGGTTGAGGTAAGAAAAAAAAAATCACAATTTAAATTTGTAATATTACCTTATATTTGTATAGTTGTTCAGAATTTACTCAGTTTGCAGTTTTAAAACATTTTCAATTCTTGAGGAAAAATGCTTAGGGTATAAATCTGTAGAGAGATTAGGGTAACCCCAAAATAAATAAATAAATAATTAATTAACAAGGAAAACATTTAAAGGAGGCAACCTGTGTATGTATGTCTTTCCTTACTCATGGCTACAGTATAGTAAGTGCTATTCTTCTAGAATAGCTAACAATGCCATTATAAGTGAAAATTCACCTAGAGTTTCATGTCAACTAGAGTTTAATTGAAAAAAAAATTCAAAGAATGAGCTACTGAATGAGAATCCTCAGACTGTAAATTACATTAAATTTAAATTGGTTTAACTGCAGACAGGTATACACATGGCTGAACAGAGGCTTACAGACTCCTCCACCACCTCTCTCATCGAAGTACCAACCAACTCTGATTGGCTTTCCAGATAAGACAAGATCTGGGACATTTGGGGTGGTGGGGTCATAGACTCCATAACTACTTCTCAATACTTATCATGGAGGACACTGCTAACAACCTCCATACTTTGCGCCACCCCCAAAGCCACATTTTCTCTGCTGTGCTTCTACCTGGACACATCTAGAAAATTGGGAAAACGGGCTCTACAGTGGATCCCAACAACACCTACTGATCTTCACTGAGAGTGGAGACTCCAGAATGAAACAGAGGTAGTCAAACAGCTCTAGGGAAAAGTAAACATAAAATAAAAGCCACTTATATATCTTTCAGAACTAATAGGGAGAGAGTAATTCAACTGAAATACCATACATTAGCCTTCGTGAGGCCGCCTAACAAAGGTGGCCCAAACTGGGTCAAGATGAAGGAAACAACAGTAGAATTCTTAGGACAAACTGGTTAAGGGATTGGGGTAAGTGCCAAAGGACATCTTTAAGAAAGCAGACAGGGCCTTCTCTAACTTCTGTCACAGATTTAGCATTCAGCTTAAAAATGGCATCATACAAAAATGTCACTCATGGCTGTAAGCGCAGTCATCAACAGAGGTAGTAAACAAAGGAACTCCTAAGAATAGATTTTAAAATGGATCAAAGTGTGACTATACATTCAAAACCTTAGAGCCACATAATCATCCCCAAAATGAACTGCTTTAATTTAAAAAAAAAAAGAAAAAAGAAAAAGAAAAAGCTTAAAAACACAATGACAATGAAGCACTGATGTGCCATAGGCACAGTCCCAAATCAGTGCTGACTTAAAGCTGTGTCCTCTTTTCAAGAAAGAGAAAGCAGAGAACAAAGTTCAACCTACAGTGGGAAGGAACAGAATGAAAATAACCAAACTGGTGCTGTCCAGATCACTCTCTGTTTTCCCATTAGTGGGAATTCATGTTTTTAAGGTTTTTTTTCTTCTCACAACTTTTTGAACTGCAATCTTCTGAACAGAAGTCCGTATTTCCACTGTAGAACAGCCGTTTCTGTGCTGTTTTCGCTTCCGCGGTGTGGGTCCTCCTTCCCTGAAAGTGCAAAGAAAGCAAGCCAACATTTGCAGGGCTGACAGTCCGCCCCAGGACTACTGCAGCCACCTGCAGAGCATGGTCAAGGGTTTGCTGCACTGTGCTTCAAAGACCCAGCTCACTCTGCTTGTCCTTCTCAGTTGGCAAACTGCTCATAAAAAGCAAACTTGATCCTCTCTATGTGATGGCAAAGCTTGATGGCAGGGCCCAGCTTTAAGTCCATGCACTCTTGAACAGTGGGCAGGGTAAGGAGCAGAAGGGCCTGCCCATCGATTTCCTGTTGAGGACAAAGAACAGAGTGTCTGGGATGTGCACACAAACGCAGCTCCTCCACGACTGCCCTGCTTGCATTATCACAGCTACAGTTCTCTGCTTCCCTGTATTAATTAGTTACCCCTTCTGAAAAGGGCCCAAGTCTGTCACCCGAGAAGCTTTCAGAGTTAGTAATAAATCCTACTATAGCCTTGAGACTCTAATCTACAGATTCTGCTCAACAGAAATTCAGTATCTGTGAAGCCCTGTACCTAACAACTAATTGTGAAAAGGAAACAGACTAAAGGACTCTATCTTTTTCTTTTCTTCCTTTCTTTTTTCTTTCTTTCTTT